CTCTCTCTCTCTCTCTCTCTCTCCCTCCCCCTCTCTCTCCCTCCCCCCCTCTCTCCCTCTCCCTCCCCCCTCTCCCTCTCCCTCCCCCACTCTCTCTCCCTCTCCCCCAGCAGCACCGGAGCACAGAGAGGAATTAGAAAGAACGACACTCTGCTTGCCTGGAGGGGAGGGGCTTTCCCTGCTCTTTGTTCCGTTTCAGCAATCACAGCAACGAAACAGAGGAGGGTGGGCAGTAAGACCCTGAGGCAGAATGCAGGAAAGCTGCCACTTCCTCTTTTCAGGTTTCCCTTCTCCGTGACTCGCGATTTGACTTTTGCTTGATTTTTTGGCTCCAGGGACCACACATTCGCTCTATAACACGCACAGACATTTCCCCTTCCTTTTTAGGAGAAAAAATCTGCGTGTTATAGAGGGAAAAATACGGTAACTCTTTACAACTTCTTCTATGAAATGAGCTAATCTACACTTCTCAGACCAAAGTGCAGCTCAGAACATAACTGTCTACTGCATTTTGCACTTTTCCAAATGTGATTCAGCTTAAGACAAAAAATGCACAAATTTTAGGAAAAAAGTGGACATTTAAATATGCTAGGCTATTGGGTTTACTTTTCTGCTAAGTGGAACAGGAAGTAATGGTTAGAGTCTTGAACTGGGAAGGGAGCAAATCCCCACTGAGCCATGAAGCTCAGTGAGTGACCTTGGGAAAATCGCAGTCTGTCAGCCTACCCCACCTCACAGGATTGTTGCAAGGATAAAATGAGTGGGGACCTTGTACGCTACCTTGAGCTCCTTGGTGGAAAGGTAACCATAAAATGTAGCCATTTAATGTAACCATAAAATAACAGAATTATAGAGTTTTAAGGGACCCCGAGGGTCATCCACTCCAATCCCCTGCAATGCAGGAATCACAACTAAACCACCACTGGCAGATGGCCATCCAAGCTCTGCTTAAAAACCTACATTGAAGGAGGGTTCACCACCTTCCATAAAATAAGACCAACTCGTAACACGTGACTGTGTTGAATACATTATCTGGCTTGACTTCCGAAGTCAGGGGCATAGCTAGTTGTCTGACTTCCCACAGCTACTTCTTACTCTGTTAACTATGCTATTATAATAAAAGTCTTTCAAGCAAATGAGCATAGCCTTAAACAAAGCGTGCATTCATCTCCAAAATTAAAATAATCATGTAATCCTTCAACCAACCCAGTTATCTTTCATCACTTTATCTCGCCAGTTACAGCTAGTGGCAGCAGTAAAATGCCACATTAAGGTATTCATGCTCATTTGTGTTTGGTCCTTTGTTCCTTTAATAGCGTTGGAAGGAGTCTATACAGAAGCTTTATTAGGCTAATCTCCAATCTGGGTGTTTGATCTCCCCCTCCTGGCTTCAAAAACAAGCAAGAAAAGAAAAAAGAAAAAGTAAAAGTCGGAAGGCAAGGTAAGGTGGAGGGAGGTAGATGGGCAGAAGCCATTAACAGAATTATTCAGAATAGCTACTGCACAGATGACTCTAGGACCTACCAAGTGTTAATTGGTGCCTGCCCCGACTGCAGTACAAATAGGTTTAACAGACAATTAGCTTGCAGACATCAATCTCTTCTGCTTGACAAAGTGAATTAATATGTTGCATGGTCTGGAAAAATGGCAGCTATTAACAGGCCAGCTCTGGGGAGGATCATTCTAGAGTTCAGTCCGTGATGCATTTTTACGAGACATGATGGGAAGGCTCAGGGCTTTCGTAGAAAGAATGTTTTCCAGCCTGGAAGCCTTCTTCAACTCAACCCAGATTCAGCAGCTAGGGCAGACTTTGTTTACTAAATGGTGACAGAAATGCAGTCTGTACACGCTCAGAGGTGCTGTCCTCCTGTTTACCACTTCATGTGTTCCTGGATGAACCCTGCCTCAAACTAATTATTATTCCCTTCCCCTTCATGCATTGCAGGGGGTGTGGGGTGTTAGTGGACAGGTAGTACCTCTGGTGGGACACGTCACATCATGCTCCTTTTGGGGCTGTTTGTCCACCTTTGTGGAATGCTCTTTCCAGGGAGGTTCACCTGGCACTTTCAATACATATTTTTAGGCACCAGGCAAAAATATTTTTCTTCGACCAGGCCTCTGGCTAAGTAATATTCTACAGCCTTTCAAATGTTTCTGTGGGAAGGGGAGTATTGTTTTGTTGTTTTTGTATTAATCGTTAACAGTGGTACCTTGGGTTAAGAACTTAATTCATTCTGGAGGTCTGTTGTTAACCTGAAACTGTTCTTAACCTGAGGTACTACTTTAGCTTATGGGGCCTCCTCCTGCTGCTGCTGCGCGATTTCTGTTCTCATCCTGAAGGAAAGTTCTTAACCTGAGGAACTATTTCTGGGTTAGTGGAGTCTGTAACCTGAACCGTCTGTAACCCGAGGTACCACTGTACTTGTGTTTTTATCTTGTATTTTATTCTGTGAGCCACCCTGTGAACCTTTGAGATAAAGGGCAGTATGTAATAAATTAATAAATAAACAAGGTTTGCTGCACATATCCTCAATACTTCTTATGAGGAATTTTTCTCTCTCTATCCTCAGGAGCTATGAAAATTTGACAGACTATGTCAATGAATAAATTACCTTTTTTAAAAGTGTGTTTGGGAAGGGGCAAATCAAAGAAGGGTCTCATCGCTTGAAAAATTGTGACCTTACATATTATAGACAGCCAGTGTGGTGTAGTGGTTAAGAGTGGTAGACTTGTAATCTGGTGAACCAGGTTCGCGTCTCCGCTCCTCCACATGCAGCTGCTGGGTGACCTTGGGCTAGTCACACTTCTCTGAAGTCTCTCAGCCCCACTCACCTCACAGGGTGTTTGCTGTGGGGGAGGAAGGGAAAGGAGATTGGTAGTCGCTTTGAGACTCCTGAAGGGGAGTGAAAGGCGGGATATCAAATCCAAACTACTACTACTACTACTACTACTACTACTACTACTACTACTATTCTTCTTCTTCTTCTTCTTCTTCTTCTTCTTCTTCTTCTTCTTCTTCCTTATGGGAATGTGATTAGGTCTAGAGCAGGCATGGGGAATTTCTGGTCTTCTACATGTTAGACTTCAACTCCTGGCCATCATTGTCAGTGGTCAGGGATTATGGGAGTTGTAGTCCAGCAACAACTGGAGGGCCACAGGTTCTTCTCATCATCTCCGTCGAGAGAAAACAAACAGTAAGAAATACTGCTACCCATTTCGTATGTTGTTAAATCAAAATGCTTCCTGCACTGTCAGCTGGTGTGCTTAGAAGCTTATAGCATTTGTAAAAAATGTTTGGTACTTTCTATATTTGGAGTGTCATCTTTCTTTTCCAATCTTTTAAATAATTTTAAAAAAAACAATTTATGGCACTATTTTTTCCTCTTTTTCTGGAAAAAGACGATAATATTTCTTGGCAGGCTATGCACAACAAAAGTGAAAGCTTCCTGTCTACTCATCATGCTGTTTCTCCCTCTATCTCTGGCACGCAATCAGACTTCCTGCTCCTAGCTATTAAGATATTGGGAGGTACAGATCTGTGTTATGCATGTAATACTGCACGCAGACAATCTACCAGTCATGAGTAATCTCAGCTCCTTGCAAAGGTAATGAAGTCCCTAAGTACCACCATGCATCTGCAATATGACATGCCCTGTTGCAGATTCTGTTGTCTGCAACAGCTGGCTGGTGGGATGTTTGGAGGCAAAGGAATATCAGCTGATTAGTACACCATGGCCACTGCAAAGCTGGCTTATTAGAAGTCAGCGCATCTTTCCACTGAATTATTATTCCTCCTCCTTCTCCTGCCCCAGGAAATAAGAAAGCAAAGAAAGAAAATATGGGAGTAAAACAGAATTAATCATATATTATTTTATTCAGTTGCTTGCCCCCAGTTTTGCTGGAACTGTGATGTGTAGTTTCAGAGTAAGGCTCAGGTAGGATGTAGTCTCTCACAAGTAATCAACCATCAAAGCAAACGCCAAGCAGCTTCACACTAAACAATCCTTATTGTCTTTTAGCAAGTTGGCAAGACTTTTAATTTGGCAGATGGGAAAAATAAGGGCCACATTCTGAAATAGGTGAATTAAACATAATAAACTCTCCCAGAGAGATGGCAGCTGCTTGGTGATCCAGTGGAACACAACAATAATAGAAGTGGCCTGTGCAGCTTGTATTATGAGCTTAAATAGGAACTCGTTATGTACTTAGAAGAGGAGGAGAATGCTTATTTTAAACTATCAGCAACTAGAAGGAACAGTACATTTCCATAATCAGCACAACTACCAGACTTAGGGGGTTATTCTTCACAGATGGTGTCCCCATGCTGAAAGCTGACTCTTTTTTCCTCCTCTCGGTAGGGTCACTTCCACAAGGAAGATAAAAGAATACCCACCCATGAGTTTTTAATTGCTATTAAGTAAAACAGACATGGAACATTAAAAGATGGATTATGGTCTTCCTTTCTTCTAGCTTCCTATCAGATCACAGCATGTGAATTCTTATAGTCATGCAGCTTGAATGACTTGCCATATGCACGAGTGTAGTAGTAAAACAAAACACAGCATTTAGAGAGAAAAAAGTTTTTAATAATGTATGTGAAAGCCCGTTGTCACAATAGTAGCATGTTGAAAAGGATAGGGATGGCTGGGTGGGTGGGAGATAACAGTGATGCATTCATAAATTCTTCCCAGTGTTTGTCTTAGAGATAACAGATAGAATTTTGCTGTGTTCTTGTTTCTTGAAAAGGGAGCAGAAGAATGAAACTAAACTGCCTGTAGCTCTGCCTAGTGGGGCATTCTAATTGACTCTGAAGTCATTAATCAGTTCCCAATCAATCTATTCTACCAGCAGCAGGCAGTTAGATCTCCATTACCTCCCATTTATCATGCCATCGCCTAATTCACTGCACCATTAGCCACAGATTAGGCCTCAGTTAGGATAACTGTGTCAGTTCCCCCTCCCTTTACTTCCCTCCCGTAAGAAAAGCTGTTGCCACTCACCTCGGCAACTGGGATTCCTTCAGGTGGCCGGCACTGGAGAAGGACTTCCTGTTCCAAAGATACTTCCTTCCCAAGTGGCTCCTGCTCAAAAGTCTTCCGCAGATCTAGGGTGAAAAAAGAAGACCAAAAGTCTGTAGTGTTTATTCTAGCTTTGGAAAGTGCATCGTAATGATGGCTGCAGTGTGTACATGGAAAGAGGTCTCCTATTTTGTCGCCACTGCACCCTCTTGTGATATTTGGTTATTGAGAGCTGGACTACACAATGCCAATGATGGAAGACATGTTTTGCCCTCACTTGCTGTGTGCAAGTGTTTTATTTTCCTCTGCAGGAATGAATGGCAGTTACCATGTGTGTGGGAGAAAGTAGATGGTAAGCCCATGGGGGACTGAGGAACCATCTCAGGTTGACGGTTAAATCTGTTTTCTGACATCACCTGTTATATTAAAATTAAGCCATTGCTTAGAACTGAATATTTCCATTGTCTGATCGTAGGTGCAGTTTTTTGGCCACAGCAGAGTGTGGCAGACTCTCAGTTTTTATATAGATGCAGATAACATGAAGTGTGTGGTAATCTTGCTCATGACAGATACTATTTATTATTTTCCAGGGCAAGTGAAGATTTGAATGCTTGTTCTCTAATTTGTTTTGGGAATCAAATTGGAAATGATTTCTTAGCCGATTATGAAGTCACTGATAGTACTTCCTCGATCATCTGCCGACATGGCCCAATGCCATGTTGCTTTGTTGGCATTAATCCATAATGCACTGAGTGCAGGTTGATGGGCACACATCACAGTTAGCGAACAGATGACCTAAGGACTCCTAGCCATTAGATTATTTCTTTCAACTGAGCCCACTGGCAAGCCACAGAAATGCAGAAGCAGTGCAAAATCTGTTTAGGTTCTCTGTAACAGAAATGTTTTCTAGGGGAAATAAAGTTAAATATTATAGAAACATCTAAATCACAAAGTATCAAGTTCAAGAGTGCATTGTATTAGTGTGAGAGGGGAAAGATTCCAGAAAGTCCTTCAGACGTTCAGCACCTGCTCCTTACTCTATCTTCAAGTACCCGAATACAATTATCACCTTGCAACAGATAGCAGTAATATTCCTAGTTGTTGAGTTTGGTACTTTACTTGCTACTTGGTCCATTTACCTAAGGTTGACCATCATTTATACATATATCTTAGATTAATTTCCATATTTGACAATAAACAATCTGATCTATTCTAGTCTGCTAAATTATGGGACTTTTAAAACACAAGTGGGAAGTAGAATCACTGAGCTCTGTAGTCACTTTTCTGCTGGTTTCAATGGGACATGGCTTGTATTAAAAAACAGTGTAGGGGTGATAACAGATCTTGGGAATAACAGGTCTTGGGGATGGCCGAGCCATTAGGCAGAGTGAGGCAGCTGCCTGAGATGGCAGGTGCTGGGGACAGTCCCCTCATCTATTCTGGCCCTCCAAAGCCATTGTCCCAGTGGCATGGGTGCTTTGTTATTGCTGGCCTGGACTCATCAAGACTCATAAAGACTTATTGTCCCAACACGTCACAAGACAGCATTGTTGGAAAAGGTGGTTCATAGAATCATAGAATCATAGAGTTGGAATAGACCACAAGGGCCATCGAGTCCAACCCCCTGCCAAGCAGGAAACACCATCAGAGCACTCCTGACATATGGTTGTCAAGCCCCTGCTTAAAGACCTCCAAAGAAGGAGACTCCACCGCACTCCTTGGCAGCAAATTCCACTGTCGAACAGCTCTTACTGTCAGGAAGTTCTTCCTAATGTTTACGTGGAATCTTCTTTCTTGTAGTTTGGATCCATTGCTCCGTGTCCGCTTCTCTGGAGCAGCAGAAAACAACCTTTCTCCCTCCTCTATATGACATCCTTTTATATATTTGAACATGGCTATCATATCACCCCTTACCCTCCTCTTCTCCAGGCTAAACATACCCAGCTCCCTTAGCCGTTCCTCATAAGGCATCGTTTCCAGGCCTTTGACCATTTTGGTTGCCCTCCTCTTATGTCATATTTAGTTTGCTGTACCAAGAGCTCAAGCACATCTTGTTTATTACCCATGCTTTGTGCATTAGTGTACAGACATTGAAGTCCATTAATCTTTCCCCCGTGTCTCTTATTTAAGGATTTTTTCCTCCCACCACTAGGTCTGCGTGCTGTTTGCTCCATTTGGTCTATGACATTTGGATTGATCATCTTCATCAATTGATAGACTCCTACCTTCAAGAGCTCTGTCTCCCTCCCCCACATTAGTCAGTTTAAAGCCCTCCTGATGGTTCACTGAGTGAGCAGACCCAAAGGCAGGCAACCCAGGTCAAGCACTCCAGCAGGTACTAGGCATGTTCACATTTTCCATCTGCTCATGTGAAACATGCTGCCACCCCTGTTTTTCTGCCACCTTTGTTTGAGGAGGGCAGCACTCTGTATGCCACATGACATGCCTTCTGCCCTCTAAGATGGTGTGCTGCCCAGAGATTCAGCAGAGGACACGGCCCCATTGCCAGAGTTTTATTATTTATCCATTTGAAAGATTTATTACCTGTCCTTCACCATAAGGTACCAATAAAATAATTCAAACCAAACCAAAGAAGAACAGAGGTGGTCCCACACAAACTACACACAACACCATGACAGTGGATGAGCCAGCTGTATGCCCCATCTAGTCCAGCATCCTGTTCTTGCAGTGGCCAACTGGATGCCTTTGGGAAGCCCTCTGCCCACCAGTGATTCTCAGCAAGTTTTAGAGGCATAGTTCATCCAAATCATAACTGACAAAGAACAGGTAAGTTTGCTCTGGGTATAAGCTTTCGTGTGCATGCACACTTCTTACCCAGAACAAACTTAGTTGGTCTCTAAGGTGCTACTGGACAATTTTTTAATTTTTTTATTTATTTTGACTGCGTCAGACCAACATGGCTACCTACCTGAATCAGACAAAGACCAGGGTGCATTTTCAGCAAATGACAGAAACCATAATGAGGATGCCTAACACACCTTTATGGGAGAGAGTTCCACATTTTGGGAACTGCTACAGGGAATGCCTTTGCCCATCCCCCGTGTTTCTGCCAAGAAGGCACCCATTTTAGCATCCAAAAGGGCCTTGGTTCATATCCAGGTGGTGCCTTCATGTTTCCAAACTGATCACTGAATACTCAGGATAGCTCAGTCAGTAGAGCATGAGACTCTTGAGTGCCATGTTGGGCAAAAAGCTTCCTGCATAACAGAGTGTTGGACTCGATGATCCTTCCAACTCTTCAATTATATGATTCGATGAAGTAGGTGCCCGCTTGACAACCAGTCTCCCCAAACCTACTCTCTGTTGGGTAAGCACCAGCAACCCACTGTGTTGGGAAGCCAGGAAAGCAACCAAGTCCCATCTGTGCCACCTCACAGGCCACTATTGCTGCCAGCCCTGTACGACCTCCATATAATCTGCATTTTTATAGATGCAACTATTATTATACCTGACCGTCATATTAAACATGAGGTGGCAAGAAGGAAAAACGCAATATTGGCTGCAGCAGCACACAGCTACAGCAACAGATCATGGACAGATAATAAACTGCAACCATTCCAGGTTACTGCAGTGAGAGAAGCGGTGGTGTGCTAGAAACAGATAATAATCCAAGCGTGTTCCCTGGAGTTTGGTTTTACTTTTCCCCATGTACCCAACGAAGCATTAATTTAGGCCTGATGTTAATGCACCAACCTTTTAAATCATGATCCTCTCTGCTCATAACACGTTTTGTTTATGAAAGCACAATTCTGCAGGCAGCTTCATTAACTTGTAACACTGATAATTTGTTTTTGCTGCTTCCCAGCAAGCTAAATCCTGTTCATTATAATGGAAAAAGGCAGCACAGATGAAGCCCCTTTCCTACCAGCCCTTCAGGAGAATTTAATGATTCCAAACTCTCCACTCCCATTTCCTCTTTATGTCCACCATAGTGACCTGATATGCACTAACACTTGAAAAGGCACCATTATGCTTCACTGGGTCAATGATCTACAAACTAAAAGTACTCTTAACTACAGACCCTGACATAATAGACTCTAATGCCCTTAAAACAGCCATTAGAGACTATCAAAGTAAAGAATACTCCCCCCCTTTCAAGAAGGATATAATTGTGTGTTTACAAGGCAGCAGAGCTCTTACATTCTGTTGGTTACTTCCTTTTGTGTACTTAGAGCCATGTTTCCACTACTATATTTCTAATCTAGACAGGTTTTCCACACAGCAACCACAAGGATGCAAAGAAAATAAAATAAAAAAGAAAATGCCAACCAGTTCCTTTGGGGAATACAAAAGATGTGGGAAAGCACAGGTAAATCAGACATTGCTAGACCTGCCATACGTCCAGGTTTTCCTGGATATATCTGGGAATTGTGCCAAAAACTGGTGTCCATGGTAGATTTCTTCTAAATCGGCAAAATGTCCGGGGAAACCCGGATGTATGGCAACTAGGGTGATTTTTTTTATCTTTTCTTAAAAGCAGCTTTAGAAATCCCCCCAAAGCCCAAAAACTTTCTTTGGGAGATGTTCCAAAAAACCCTCAACAACTTTTTCTGGATTTTCACTTTTAGGAACATGGCAACCCTAAACATAACTAGTTTATGCGCAACTACAAATGTCTCATGGGTTTCTCATTTCTTGAGTTCAAGTCTTCCCTAAAGGCTGCAACACTGTCATGTTTTTCCAAGTGCTCAAAACACACAATTATTCCCGCACTTAGCCCCTTTGTGTACTTACAAGGCTTTTGGGTGTGTGTCCCCCGGATGAAATGAGTGACAAGCACTATCCCTTCAGATCTTATTTATTTATTTTATACATTCCTCAGAAGCCTGTTGACTCTCTTGCTGTACAGCTTCATTTGTGGCTTGCTACATTCAGATTACAGTTGAACGAGAAAAAGTAAAGCCACTTCTCGGCGCTGGATGCACAGCAAGCATCTGTAAGCTAAAAGCGGCTGTGCTTCTAAGAGTGCAGAGCTGCAGGTGGCAATTTCACAGTGAGTTTCTGTGAATGCCATTCTCTGTGACTGAAATCCCTCAAACAGCAGCAAGATTTTACTCTCTTTTCA